ATAACCCTATAATAGGGGTTTTACAATTTTTATAAGACTGTTTCTTACAACTTTTATTTTGCCTGAATAAAATATTTTATGATTCATTATACACAAATAGTTTGAATTGTTTTGACGGCCATTGTTGCAGTTTTTTATTAAATTCACGTGTAATAATTGAATACACTATAAGAACGAATGTTCATAACAAATACAAATCTAAAAATTGTTTTTATTGTGAATAATATATATATACCATCACTCTATATTGGTTTTTTATTTTTTATAATATAAATAATAAAAAGTATTTTAAAATGCACGCTGAATACAAAATAAAACACGTTTGAACTATTTTGTTTTGTTTTTGGTTGTATAAAAAAATATTTATTTGTCTTTATTTGTACAACGATAAGAACATATAAAAATTAACTTCATCTTATTTTTATCTGAATTTTTTTTTTTATTAATTAATTTTATTATTGATCATACTCTGTAACCGCTCAAAATACCGGTTACTGGTTATTTTTGCCAACTCAATTTTTTATCATGCCTCGGTTTACCAGATAAGCTGGTGGTAATTACCGTGAATAAAAGTAAACGATTTACCGATATTTTAAATTACCGGTAAAATTCAATACCGGCATCACTCATAGTTATACCGAGAATACCGCAAACTCTCTATATTAATATTATATAATGAAACTCTTTTAGTATATCATTATTGGCTATTTCTACTGTATTAAATAAAACTTTCGTGCAATTTTTTCCTCTAGAAATCCATAGGTCTTTTTTAGGTTTTCTTTTTTCCCCCAGAGGTTATCTCGCGTTGTTTCTATATATATATATATATATATATATATATATTAATATGAAACGTGTAGCCGCCCTGCCATTAGGTCGATAACCGAAGGAGGAAAGAGAAAAATCTGCCGACTGAGAATATAAAACGGTCGCAATAAAGGTTTCCTCTCTGTACCGTCGGCGTGCACATAAGTGGGAGTCCTTTAATAAAGTCCTTCCCGCACCGTGCATAGGTATCCAGTTGCATATCTTCCACGCAGAAATATCGTTTCGACATTTTTCCGTCATAACCGATTTGATTAAAACGTTATCCGTGTTTGGGGTATGCGTAAGCAGCAATACTATGGCGGGCCCTGATCGCCGGAATGGCATTAGTCAATACGAAAACTGTTAATATAAGTAAGAGGTATGTTCGGTATGCTTTGGCGGGCGGCTCAGTCGTGTAATTTTTAAAAAAAGTTCATTTTGAGCAAGACAGCTGTCACCAAATGAAGTATAATGGTAAAGAACGAATGTTCGCGCCGTTTCTTGTCAACGCGTCGTTTTGAGCGCATAAACGTTTATGGCATATTATTAGTATTGTTATTTCGTATAGGTTTTTCGTACATTGTTTTTCATTAAAAACGTAGTAAAAATAAAAATTATTCAACTTTATTACTAAAATATTGTGTACTGGATTCAAAGGTACACCTACGACGAGCAGGTTCGAACTGAATCTCTGTCTGAACACAAACGGTTTAGTTTGTTTTTAATCATGAACGAAACAAAGAGAGGCGGCCGTAAAACAAGAGTTAAAAAACATTTTGGCTACAATTAAATACCATACACAGCGAGTGGGAGGAAAACCTTGCGAGCTGATGCTAAATGACATTGTAGTCCCCTGGGAAATTCTTACTGGGTACCATCGGGGTAATTAAGTACACGCCATGTACAAATTGGCAACTATCAATGCGACATAATTTCATTTCGCTTTGTGCATTATAGTACCCAGACAGATATTTTACCACGTTAAACGCAAACAAAATTATAAAACATGTTATTTTTAATTAAAAACGCACTAAAAATAAAAATTATTCAACTTTATTACTGAAATATTGTGTACTGGATTCAAAGGTGTCGACCAGGAGCTTTTCAGGAATGGAATTAGTATTAAAGGTTTCAGAATTTTGTTCATGATACGATTTACAAACGAAACATTAAGAAAATATAAAAATGTTTTTTTCGAAAAGCGGTGATATGAATAATAATTTAGTGTTGTAATTAAAATCGTTCAAAAAATTATTTTAATGTATTATTAACGTGTATCATTACATTTGGGTTTGGACGGAATATTTTTTTTGTGAAATTTATTTTTGAAGAAAATAACCACGGTATAAAAACTTTATTCAAGTAAAATAAATAATTGTTTTTACTCATGGGCAGATTAGGTTAGATATAAAGGTCAGGTAAGCCGCATAAGCTTATCGGAAATCTTCAAAACTAAATGGTATCTTTTGTAAATGGTGTTCGATTGTTACACGAACGAGTTCCCATTATAAAATAAAAGCCGTTTTCGTTGTACACTTTTTTCTCCTAACTTGACACGTTTTCAAGAGTTGCCTGTTGAAAATTCAATGAATTCCCACGGCACTATCTTTCGTTCTGTTTTTTGCACGTACACATTTTCTACATTAGGTACATGTATATCCGCTATATGTATAAAACAATTTAAACCATATCAGTCGCAGATCATGACCATCATAAAAGAAATCTTTTTAAACAATAAAAATACCGTCAATACACACACGCGCTAGACTATTTATATAGAAAATTAAGATGTCAATTACAAAATCAATATTTATCGTTATTTTGTTTTGTAGCTATGAAACAAAATGTTTAAACTAGGTAAGGATTAATGCGGGTTTTAAGTGCTTCATTGTTGCCAGCTAATAATATTAATATTTGTAAACAATACGCTCTAAGCGAGCATCGGAAATAATGTTACTTACGACCATAGAGAATATCGTTTATTATTTCAAAAGATCAATTTCCGAGAAGTCTCCAAACGCGGAAGACTTGTGGAATAGGTACAAGAAACAAAATAATCGATTTAAGCTTAATGCAATAAATTCACCATGTTGTTTAATATTTGACATTCCCCGTGCTTTGTACCACAGCTGTTATTATAATGGCAATTATTTTGTAGAAAACATATTAAGTCTCGTTAACTGTACTCGAGTGTACAGTTATACCATGCAATTCTTTTCAATCCCTGACCAACAAACAAAATATGTTTTTTTCTTACAATTATTATTATTATAATAGAACGTAATATGACATTAATAAAAAATAAAAAGTGTACACAAACTATATAGACTTAAGATCGTTAACGTAACGACAGTAAAAAAAAACCCAAATAGTTACAATAAAGCAACAATTTAATAAAGCAACGTCTTAATCAGTGTCATAATCAAAATATAATAAAATAATAGTGGCTATAATAACGCTGCAGATCATCGGGAAATAAATTATTCACACTTCATAACAGGTAAACTTTACCACCTTTATAACTCCTTCTACTATGACACTAATAAGTTTTAGCAAGTCTAGGAAAGTAATTTTTTTTTTGTATTAACATCGTTACTTACGACTTACTTAAGTTAAAATAAATGTTGAGTATCGAATTGAAGTTCAATACAATTTTCGATTAACTTAGTCAAATTAAAATTTACTATTAATATATAACAATAAGCCTAAATAATAGATAATAAGCTAATAATTTTTTACATTACAAATTTGTCTCTTATTTTATAATAATTGTAATACAGTTTTTAATACTATAATTAATTAGTTAGTAATTAGCTAATAACGGGTAATACAATTTTTTTTTTGTAATTAACTCAAATACCTAAGAAGTTAAATTCATGAATAACTAAATTAAAATTTAAAGGAAATTTTACTGTTTACTTTTTGTTTAATAAATTAAGTAGATTGTTTCGAAATGTAACTAAATCGCTTAATATTTGTTAGTTTTTCGTCCTTAAAAGCCATTTAGGCCCATCACAACTTCACACAGATTCTTCTACTCCTTTTTATTAGTTGTCATTTCTTTCGGGTTATGGACTCCAAGTATCTAAAAGTCTGGGGTAATTCCGTCTGTACATCTTTTTTCTCTCTGTCCAGTGGACTTTTACCATCTGGTTTTCGTTCCAGTGCATCTTTTGTTACGTTATTCGATTCTTGTAATTACTTACAGCAGTTTAATATTGTAACTCGTATCTTGTAACCGGTTACAGTTAATTTAGTATAACTTGTCCAACTCTGTATAATATTAATAGTAATTAATAAGTAATAATGCCATTCAATGTATTCGATTATTTTTTTTTTATTAGGACTAAGCGGCATTGCCTTGGCTCTTTTCGGGCCAAACTAAATGGAATCCCGTTCAAGGGGTTTCCGGTTATTTGCTGTTATATGTTATCCTGATTTATGTATTGCCTTGGGCTACGAGATGACGTGTAACATACACCGAGAGTCACGCCGTGAACACTATTCACTGCTGCAAGTATTACCATTACCGCGGGAATATACATATTTTAAATGTGCATTTATCTCGTCGCCTCGTATATGTTTTATTGCTACTTATCAGTCACAATACCCGTCAACCGTCAGACGGTGTTCCATCAGTCATTACATTCTACCGTCACCGCTTAGACGGTTTACTAGAGTATGGCATAATGGTTTCGCTGTAATAGTGTGTAAGCATTTTCGCATTCTGCCGGCGGCCATTCGTTTGGGGAAAAAAACATCTTACCCTTGTCAAAACGACATCGTGGGGGTGAAAAAAAATATTGTTAAAATTCTATATAATCGCAGCAAAGGGTCAACATTTGTTTGGATATCATATCGACTTTCACCCTTCTTAATTGGAACAGATAGTTTGATGGGATTGAATACACTGCGTGTAAGGTCGTGGACGGTGATAATATACAGTATGCGATGTAATCAAACCGAATTGTGTTATTACAATAAAATAGAAAAAAAAATTATGTACGATTTTTTTTTACCGTGCTTACAACGTTAATACAACAATCGTTCGTCTCGTTTGAATCGACAAACAAAATATGTTATTGTTGTTGCACGAGGGCAGAGGCTGGTTTTAGATTTAAATCTACAGCCGTAGTTGTGCACAGGAAATGAAACCCGGAAGTTTAAAAGCCATTCGATGAATACTACTTGACGGTCGGCACTGAATGTTTAATACTTAACATCAAAAAATATACAGTGTTAGCTTACACGTCACTTGTATTATTATCAGGAAAAAACTCAAAATGACGGCGGCAATGCGATACGTTTTTATTGTTCTTTTCGTAAGTAACACAAACCGCATTGTTATTGTATAATATCTTACTTAGACTAAGTTCGTAAAATTAAGTCTCTCTTTTCAACACGCCACGACTAGTGGAGTCTCGTCCGACTCGGGTTTATTTGTACATGTTATAAAAACCAATTAATAAGACTTTCAAAAGATTGCCAATGTTAAAAAATATGCGAGCTGGTCCCTTTACTTTCTTTATATACGGTTCCACTCCCTTTCAATATAGCAGTCACATAATGAATGTAAGTAATTCGGTCGAGTGCACTTCAAACGGACGAAAGAAGTCCGTTGGCATCGGGTATGATTAACTTATTTGATTATCACGAGGATAAGAAAAATCTTCTTATCGTAACGAAAAGACATATTATACAGGGTTAATCGAGTTTCGTGTAACTGTAACGTTTTCTATGAATCGATTGTTTTGAATAAAAAACGTTCAAATAATATACCCTTGTTCTGATTATAAAAAAATTATACTTCAAATTCAAGATGAAAATGTTATTTTATAGGGTAATATTAAGGTGGGGATGAATTTAAAAGTCAAATAGCAACCTATATAATTAGATTTACGTATGAAAATCAGAATGATGTAATAAAAATAATGACTGACTAATAACCAGTTTTAAATACTTAAGTTATAAGCCTTTAAATGTATAGATTGGGGTGAGTGTAGACTGTAACATTATGTGATCCACACGCACCACTAACCGGCACTTTCTTCTACACCTAAGCTTAAAATACTAACAACTCAAAAAGTATTCGTTTAAACTAGTTGTGGATTAGACCATTTAATATTTCAAATGTATCATTGTAATTAATACGTTTCTTAAATATATGTTTTGTTATTTCACTTTTAAAAATTACTTTTTACAGCTATTCTTTCAAATATTTTTTTAATAAATATTAATTAAAATGTCTTATTATTTAGTATGATAAAACTTTTATCGCAAACTTTTCTAACTTATATAATTATTTAATTGAAATATCACTTTAACGTGAAATTCGGTTAACCCTGTATATGTTTTAAGGTTTTTACAAACCGTAAAGAAAATTTTATTACAGTTCAGCGTTTCTATAAGGCAACCGGCATTCATTGAAATATTTTACTTTGATATAAATCATAAGAAAAAAAAATACATTTTGTGTACTATCTCGTGGCACCGACTAACATATTTATTTAACATTATTTCGAACAAGCCAAATCAAGAATTACTTCTTAAATGGTTTTTCAAATTCTTATAAAAACAATTCCTAAAAATAAATAATTTTATCTCCAAATTATGTTGGTTAAAAATTCCTTCCAATTTTTCTCTTTTAATTTAGTTATTATCATCACCAGGATAGCAACCACAAAAGTGTAAATCGGATAACCTGCCCAACGCGTTTTGAAAATTATATTAATAACACCGTAGGGAAAAAATCGTCACGCGCAATTTAGATTTGCATTAAACTCATCCCAAACAGTAATCAACTATTTTTGTCCAACTGTAATTGCAGGCTGCGTTTTTATTTACCTTCAATCGGATAAACCATTTATTGTTTTTATACTTTAATTTCTCAATCAAATTAAAACTATACATGCATAGATTTTCGTTATTATAAAGTAGGTAGCAAATATAGTATAACTAGAAACACATTATTTTGTTAATGTTATGAATTCGTATATCCTTGGTGATATCACGGCCATAGCATGTAATTATTTTGCGTTATATGTGTGTAAAAAAAAAATATCATTAAATTATATTGTATGACCTTACATAATGTTGACAATATGAACAAATAATCTTATATAATATAAAACTGCATTAAAATTATTATTTATAATAACTAATTATAAAGGCTAAACGTTCTCTTATGGGATTTAGAATTTAATGATATAGAAATTTCTTCTCTGTCTCTCTCAATGCACTTTCAAGAAGATTTAACTGCGGTTACAATTTGGTCTCATGTGTAAGGATTATCCCTCAATTTGTCCAAATGTTTCTCAATGACTTTTTTTAGGGCTAGTGAGCCACTCTATTCTGCTATTTTTGTTGAGGATGTAAGCCTTTCTACGTGCAATGTAATTGTAAATCTCGATATGACCTTCGAATTTTAGTCGATCTTCCGGAGTCATATTAATTTATTAACTTGTAAATCTCGGAAAACTCTATGATCACCAAGCGTACTTGAGTTATTAGCGTTTAAGTGTATTGCAGCTAGAGCATCGGGGTAGGCTGTAGTGCTATGTTTATCCCCGCTGATAATAATTCGAAAAACATTTATTCCATAGTTTCCATTGTATTATAATATGGATACATATTTCTGTATTTTGTAGATATTTAAAGTTACGGGCATTTGTCAATGCGACTACGGCTCTAACGAAATCGACGAACCTCAAACGACAGATAGTCTTTTGCAAAGCCATTGGGATGAAGCAATCGACAATAGTAATGCTGAAGAGAACGAAATAAAAAAAGACTTCCAAGGATGTAAGTCAGATCACGAATCGTTTTCCATATTATTGTAGGGTTTTCCCCCCCTTTTTTTTTTTGAGGGGGCGTACCGGACTTTCGAGCTCAGTGGGCCGGGAACAATCTGGGTTGTCTCTATAGATCGACCAGAGCATAGTCGACATAATACAATTTGGTTAAAAATATAAAAAAGAATTCGCGATTTGATATTACTCCGAGGGGACATTTGTAACCACTGTCGTTTTGGTCGCCATTATTGTATGTATATAAGTACATGACAAAGTAGTTTTATCTAAATTGCCTTTCACGCATCAGCCAACCGTAATTCGTGTATAAGCCACTTAATTATAAAGATGCGATAACAAATTAATGACCGCTGCTTTCCTTCGGGATGAGCAATTTGTATAATGTTTAACTGCTACAAGACGCACAACGGCCACGTTAAACTTTACTATAGGTAAGTAATCTAACTTTACTAGGTCATCTTTGATTGCTGTTTTTAAATATTTCCATTGTACTTAGGATGACTCAAAACGAATTCAGCAGAGTTAAGTTTTGTTAAATATATATTCTTACTTCGAATCGCATGATCATTAATTTCACTGATCGTTGAAACACACGTTTTACATATATATTTTGGTGACTACTTTAACTACGTTAATGATTCATCTACATTCGTCGCCGTTGAATTATTAAAATTGAACCGTATAATCAATGATTACAGATTTCTCTAAATTAATGATCTGCATGTGTATAACACATGTTATACATTCAGTACTTTTATTATTTTGTGTTTCATTTAATCGTTTTAGCTTCATGAAATATGCATCCATAAAAATTCGTTAAAAGTGAATAGTGTAATCACCGGTTCAAGGGTGAACTAACCCGTTAGTAGTAAGCCCTAGTACACCATTATTCTTACGAATAGAAAATGTAATACACAAATAACGTAATTTAACTTTTAAAAGTTACACACTAAAACTACTCTTAAAAAAAAATTTCTACTTTAACAGTATCTACTTATTTTATGTAAGGAAGGTTTTTACACGAACTTTTTAAATTACAAAAACAACTATATCCCAGAACAAATAACTAGACCGTGCAATTTTAAAAGCTTTTGACAACATAAAATGTTAAATTTATAATTTTAATAATCCATAGCAATAAAAAAAAGTCATCCGGTAGGAAAAGAGCATAGTGAGTTCAGTGTTAGTCAGAGAACTATAGAAATTCTTATGATTGCGAGTGTTATAATCATTCGTGAAAAACGATTCCGAGACACGTCTATAAAATAATATGTACTAATGAACGACTCGAGTGTCTTTTTTTTGTGGTTAGCAAAACCTTACGGGGTTTCAGCGCGTTTGTAGTTTCACGGTTTTCAATACTGTTTCCAGGGCCTATCATTTGTACCGAAACGGATCGCCCGGTTGTATGCAATTTCGTCAGAATCAAATATTCGAGATGGCCCATGCTGGCAGCGGTGGAACGTAGAAAGAGGCAGGCGTCAGCTGTTGTGAGCGCCATCACAGAGTTACCACCGGAAGCTACTTACGGACGCGGTTCAGAAGTCGATTCCTTAACGTCTCCCATTCCAGCGCCTCAGATTCCAAGTAATTCCCTTGGACGGGAAGACGGAGGTACCGGAAGCGTCGCCGTACCCGGCACAACGGAAGTGACGACCACTCAACCCGAGGCGGAAACCATTGACCCGTCGCTGGGAGACGTTGGGGGAGACGGCGGTGACAACTGCAACTACGACATAATATCGATAATATTCAAGTGCGGCTTAAACTTGATCACCAGCATATTCGGTCTGACGGACACGTGTTGCAAGGACGTTCTCTAAACTGAGTCACATGTGCAATGTTGTTATACTATTTTAAATAATATCTCATATAATATATAGCTCATCTTTTTGTCATTGCAAATCCTGTAAGATTCTGAATACCGCTTGCAATATATTTGTACTAAATAATCATCATGTAGCTATGATCGACGTGTTATGTTAAAGTGATCATGGAAATTGTTAAAAATACATTATACAATATTTATTATACATAGAACAAACGGCCAAGTCCGTTAACGGTTTTTTTGAAGTTGTTGCAGTTTGAACTCTAAAGGTATGAGATATACTTAGCCCAATAACGTTAATAAACATGTTAAATTAGACATAAATAAATACTGAACGTGTGAGGGATAATAACAGAGTTGGGCATTATTCGGTTGAAAAAAATTATAATGATAATTAATATCGACTCGTCTAGTAACATTCGAGAATGTTTAGTACATTTTTTTAAGCTCTGGTTGCTTACATAAGTCTATTAATTCATTTTCGCGACGTTAAAACCAACAGTAGGTAGTCATATTATAATAATTGAAAGGTTGGTTTAAGCGTTAAAATACAAGCAAGTACGGGCAACTAAATTATATTTTCGAAAAATAACGATGACGCAGACTTATACGCGGGTAAACACAAATGTTTTATGAGCTGTATTTTTACTTCAAATACCACATTATTTTAATAATGACAATAGCAATACATTTTTTCGGTCCTTTTGTACTTTCCATACCCGTACATCATATTTTGACAAACGTCTGAACGCATTCACGGTATTACTCACTCAACACGTCGTGATAATTACAACCGTAGGCCGATCCGATAATAAACGTCAGTTATAGGTCTACACGGGTACAGCTATTGTATGGAAGTTATGATAAGTTAATAATATTACAATATAATTTTATAATATTGGTTACGGTGGACAAACCGCAGAGGTTCCATCAGAATTGCATTTATTATGGGCAGAGCCTTCGGGAATATTGCCAAACCGTTTAATGGCGAGGCGGCATCTCGACAAATGGGTCTCTGGGGCTGTGTTTTAAAACAACTGGGGAACAAAATATTAGCATTTCGCCACAGAAAGCCTGTGTATATATATATATATTCTCCACCCTATACCTACCCTTATTTGCCGCGGTACCGACGAAATAATAACAATTATAATTATTAGTAACAGCTCCAACATGATTCTTGTCCTATTATTATTCTCGTCGTCGCTGTTCGTCATTCGTCGACCTCTATTTTATTTCTGACACGTCAATAGTATATTTGTATTGTCGCCAGACCAAATTGCACATATATATCCATTCCAACCGTTTGCCATTACCGCAAACAGATTGAAAGCCGAGTCTTGAAAATAATAAAACGGCAGTTTGTCAAAAATCATCTCTTCTCGTCACCGTAACTGTACAGATATGAATGTTCATTACATTTGAAGTACAAACAGCTAGTGAAATTATACACTTTTAGAGGTAGTCCGACACGTGTGTAAACACATCAGGGACTAAACCTGATATAGATACCGGAAGTCGGTCGTTTCAATGGCATAACACAACTTTACATGTAATCAACAATGCAATATACAGGGTGATCGACTTAACGTAATACGCTCATTTTCGCCTAAGACAATTGTAATTCTGTAGTTTTCTTTTTGGCGACACTTAAGTTTAAATTATTTTAAAATACAACAGTGAGCTCAGGTGATTTAAATTTTAAATGACAACGTATACATTTAATTAACTTTTTAGATTAAGAATAATTTTCTGAAAATGTTAACTGATCGATAATCAGTTTTAAACAATTACTTTTAAAGTTACCTACTAAAGTATTACCTCTAGTCCTAAATTTTCAACTTAAATAACTTTCATTGTAATTATCCGAAACTGGTAGAGCTTTGGAAAACGCTAAAAAAAGGTAAATATTTATTATAATTTCACAGTATTTTAAATAAAAATACTTGAAAAAAAGGGAAAACTATAAAATTACAAGTATATATCGCGAACACGATACGATACTCTAATTTCCGTCAAACGGCATGGCGGTGCAAATATTGTCGTCAGACAAACATGCTAGGTAAGTATAATACACAGAATTCCTTTGAGCTGTACGTTTTATTTAGCTTATCCCTATCGCCTCGATTCCTACACGAAAGGCGCGTAGCTCTCACATCACCGCATGTCGACGAACTGAGATGCACTCTATATGCATCTTGTTAAGATTTAATGATGTCGTTCCCAAAGGGAAAAACACAACTCAACCGACCCGTACCGTTGAAAATGATCAGGATTCGTTGATTACACAGGATTTACTATAGCATGTATATAGGTTACAGGACATATTATCAACGCAGTGGGCGGCCAGTGCGCGTTATACGATTGTTTCCATGTTGTTTATTGCGGATGCCGAACGGTTGATTTTCTCGGCGAATCCCTGAATAATTGCTTATTTATCGTCGACAAACAACGATCACCAGGATACTATACAATAGTGAATTTAAATGTCGTTGAAAGTAAACACAATGTATAATTTGCGGATTGTAGTGAGATTAGCGCACAGTCCGGGGAATTATTGCGCGTAGAGAGCGAATTGTGCGACTGTATTTTTTTTGTTTTTTTTTTATGAAGAAACGACCAACAACAATATTGTTAAAAATAATAACAACGAGCAAACACAATGCTACAGGCGAAAGAAACCCTCTCCGATAAAGCATTATGTGCGACTAAATCAGATAAGTCGCCGGATCCGATGAAATAAATGAACGAAATCTACCGTGAGCGTCCGGCACACGGTTTTGGTATTATTTTTTAAGAGTATTGTTTTTTTCGGTTTTTTTTCTTCTTCTTGTTCAACCGAACGAATGTGTTTGTACGCCTTTTGTGTATTATATATTTCCACTCGGCGAGTACAGGAAGTGTGTTTTACGTTATCCCGTGAAATAATAGGGGTATGTTTAAAAGGAAACTATAATCGTAATACCCCCATATACACGCTGCTGCTATTCCCGGCTTATTGTCGACCTGGATCTCGAGTGGTTAGTTCGGGACCATTGTAGAGCGTCGCCGAAATGTGTGCCCAACCGTGCAAGGATTTTTTAATTGTTTCGCGTTTAAAAGTATAATATTATCGTGTCAGTATTATTATGTTGTCCCATCGACCAAGACGAAACTTAAACTTGTACTAGGGCGATTTGCTGACAGCAATGAAAAAGCCGGAACAAGAAAAAAAAAAAAAAAGGTTTAAAAATAATTTTTATTATTGTAATTTTTTTAAACTTATGTAATGAAACATACTCAGAAAAAATGATTATGAGACTTGTATATTTTTATTAAAATATCAAACCAACAAGCGTTTATCTGTTTGTAGTATTTTATATAGTTTAATTAAATTAAGTAAATATAATATATTATGTACATAGTAACTTGCAAGAAAAACATAGACTTGACAAATTGATTTCAGGATTATTCTGTTTTCGAAAAAAACACGAGTTATTAAAACATGTTTTAGTTTTTTTTTTAATTCGACCAAACTGCGTTAATAAAAATATTTTTTAAATATTTCTTTTACACATAACGTTCAATAGTTACCGAAAACCGCACTTTGTCGTAAAATCGTTTACCACAACAGAAAATATTTATAGCTTATTTTTTTTATAAAAGTTTACAGAAGTTTTACAAACAGAATATAATATGTTTATAAAAAAAAACATTACTTACGCATGACTTTAGATAAATACTTAACGAGCGCAAGAACTAAATCGTGTGCTTTTCAAAGTGTTACTGTTAGTGTGGACAAACGGCATTCTTTGATAGCTTAAATATTTTGGTTTTAAACTTATACTCAGTTTCTGAAAAACAGAATCAATTTTCAATATAAAAAACTATCTAAAAGCTACGAATTTTACGAAGTAATAATAAGATCAATCACGTGCCCGAACTTTTACCTGTGTTACTTGCGTTTTCTCTTATAATTTCGATAAAATTAAAAAATTACTTTCAACAATCAGCGTGTTGAGAGATACAGACAACGAAGGGAAATATTTCAAAAAGTAAGCCACTTCAAAGTAGCTCCATTGGGTGCCCCCCTACTGCATGTTATTCAAGCTATATTATTAATTTTTTTTTACTGTTTACCCATTTACTGTTGTGCATATACAAAGTATAGATGTAAATATTCAATATAATAAAGACACTTTCTAAGAAATAAAAAAAAATGACAAACTCAGAGCCGTTTTAGTATTGTTAAATTACAAAAAAAATTTGAGTTTAGTGTAACAAAATAACTATAAGTGATTTATTATGATGTTAAAAAAACCCAATTAATGCGAAAAGAAAAAAAAACATAGTATAGTTTTTAACTTAAATTTTTGTTTTACATCAATCACCATGTACATTTTTTATGGTAGTAATAACTAGTATTAGCCATAAAATATAACTTCGGGGTTTGAAGATGTAAATGAAAATTGATTGATTTTTTTTAGATTAAACATCAGATATACAAGCAAAGTTCTGAAAATAAACCGTCAAAAAATATTGTTTTCTGTTGGGATTTTATGTATAACATATATTGTTTTGTTAAATTTAAAAAAAAAACGTCCAAAATGCTTATAAATCATTAACATATAATATGTTTTAAAGCTAGTCAATATCTATCACTATTCTTATTGTCATATTTTCCTTTACAAGCTTGTCATACTTTTTCAATCACCATTGTAATAAATAGCTGATTTCCCTTATTTCGTGTCGATTTTCATGGAAATGTGATAGTATTAACATATTATTATATTATGTTAAAAACTGATCATTAATGATAACTATCGTTACCAAGGTGGCTGAATAAGTAAAACTTAGCAATTTTCAAGTGAAGTAATCATACAAAATAATGTTTACAAAAAACAACTGTGCATCTTATTATATAATTTTAATAACGCCAGTGAACATAATTTTCTTTGACATTACCAAATGGGGTTTGGGTCCACTGACTGGAACAAATAGGGACGTGCGTAGGTCAATGGAAATACAATATGGTTTATGTTTTGGGGTATAAAATATTGTATTTTTGTTTACCGAAAATATTTTAAAAAAAGGAGACCTCCCGAAAAAAATACAATAATACACGCATATCAAATAAATATGAGCGTGCC